TTTGTAATGTTGTAAGACTGTGACATTGTTACGTTATAAACATTTCATATGGAATCTGGTTCTACTTACGAATGACATCAATAGTGATGGATGCATTCAATGTCTTGTTCCTATATGTCCTCATGCAGCTGTAAACCCCAGCATGCTGCTTTCTCACATTGGCAGTGAGATATTTTGTAGATGTTTGGTTCATGAATATATTTGTGATTCCACTGAAACTCCATACAGGATCAGATGATGGTGGGTGACTCTCAACAGTGCAGCTCAGGCTGAGAGTGTCACCTTCCGTCACTTTGTCATTACCCAGAATTTGAAGACTCTTTACATCTGAAAATGAGGAATTTCATTGTTTTTGACACCATATTGACTGCAGTAAATACTTTTAAATTCTACTTTTTGAATATCCCAGAAGAGTAGACGATGGAAGTCTTCTAAACTGAACATTTTGCTGCATTTCTGAATTTTACTTTATGTATTGGTCTAGTAGTAGTTCTAGTAGTTAAAATGTAAATTTGTAAACTCACACATGACTTTGAGGGTCCTACTTGTATTAATGTTTTTGCTTCCGTAGCTCACTTCACATGCTACAGTGGCATTGTGCAGGTCAGAGGTTGGAGTTAAGGTCAACGTTGAGAGGTAAAGGCTTTTGGAGATGGTCAGAATGATGTTATCCTTTAGATCAGTGATGTTTTCCCCTCTTGTCTTGATCCACCATGTTATTTCAGGAGGAGTTTCAGGACAAGGAAAAGGAGCTGAACATGTCAGATTGGCCTCCTGTCCTTCACTGAGAAGAGGAACCTCCATTTTAGGCTCATCTGCAAATAGAGGTACACAACAAATGTTATACATTGCCAACATTTACCAAAGTCTAAATAATTAATTGAGTCATTCTTTGAGTACAGATTCATATTATACAAATTAATTGCGTATTGTACTGAGACGAAGAAAAAAACGGCTCATAACAATCTAGCACATCCATATGTTAAAGTTGCTTTAAGAAATTATGTCCTAACATTTAACATTATGAAATCATTAAAACATCAGAAGTGTGCAGTGTGAGCTCTGAAATACAATAGAGAACTGAAAGAGAGCATCAGACTAGACAAAAACGTAGGACCTGTTTAACATTGCCAAACATAAGTAAGCGTTACCTTGGATGGTGATCTTAACTGTGAGGTTATATGTGTTTCGACCAGACTCCTCCAGTCTGAGCACATATTCTTTTTTATCTTCTGCTCTTATGTTTTTCACGATGATGCTGCAGTTGTTTTTGGTCAGATCAGGTTCAAGCATCTCAATCCGTCCTGATTTAATTTCTTTCTTTTCCACTTTACTCCCTTTCACTCTTTCTTCTTTCACATTTCTTAAGTTGAATATTTCATTCTTACAGTTACCTTTTTTATTACACTCATTCCACTGAACATTAATAGGTTTTGCTTCATCTGGAATGTTTCCCTCTCTTGTCTTGATCCTCCATGTTATTTCAGGAGGAGTTTCAGGACAAGGAAAAGGAGCTGAACATGTCAGATTGGCCTCCTGTCCTTCACTGAGAAGAGGAACCTCCATTTTAGGCTCATCTGCAAATAGAGGTACACAACAAATGTTATACATTGCCAACATTTACCAAAGTCTAAATAATTAATTGAGTCATTCTTTGAGTACAGATTCATATTATACAAATTAATTGCGTATTGTACTGAGACGAAGAAAAAAAACGGCTCATAACAATCTAGCACATCCATATGTTAAAGTTGCTTTAAGAAATGATGTCCTAACATTTAACATTATGAAATCATTAAAACATCAGAAGTGTGCAGTGTGAGCTCTGAAATACAATAGAGAACTGAAAGAGAACATCAGACTAGACAAAAACGTAGGACCTGTTTAACATTGCCAAACATAAGTAAGCGTTACCTTGGATGGTGATCTTAACTGTGAGGTTATATGTGTTTCGACCAGACTCCTCCAGTCTGAGCACATATTCTTTTTTATCTTCTGCTCTTATGTTTTTCACGATGATGCTGCAGTTGTTTTTGGTCAGATCAGGTTCAAGCATCTCAATCCGTCCTGATTTAATTTCTTTCTTTTCCACTTTACTCCCTTTCACTCTTTCTTCTTTCACATTTCTTAAGTTTAATATTTCATTCTTACAGTTACCTTTTTTATTACACTCATTCCACTGAACATTAATAGGTTTTGCTTCATCTGGATAAGTGAAGGTACATGAAATGAGAGCACATAATCCTGCAACTGCAGTAACTTCTGGTGGATTGAAGGTGATGTTCCAGTCATTGTTTTCTTGGCCTTGAATAAAACAAGCACTTTTTTAAGCATTTTTAATAGAATCTACTTTTTAACATTTTTAATATAAATATTTTAAGTTAAATGTAAAACAACAGAAACACAATATAAGATGTATACCTGTACACAACATATTTAATATCAAAATAAAGAGGATTGTACATCTTGAGATGATCTGCATTTTAAATGTGTTCCACAAATCTGCACAGAAAAAAAAGAAAAAAACTTTACTTTAGCATTTAGCATTTGTAAACAAACTATACATTGCCTGCTATAGGACATATGGATATGGCACTAAAGAGAGAGAGCTTCTTACCGTTTTCTCAAGTCAACCCCTCCACAATGTTCTCAGAAGCTTTAGTTTTCGAACTGCAGAAGCAGCACACAAGTAACAATGTATAAAATGCATCCTTCCTCTTGTCATGTTACTTCCTCTTTAAAATGCCTTGTAAATGAGTTTGCACAAGCATGCGGCTGGGGTTTTTTTTGTATTTTAAAAATCAATATACATAGCGTGTATAATGTATAATAATGCAATTATAAAACGGATAGTTCTGGTCCTTGATTCTGATTGGCTGAGCCATGTTCGAAGCTGTTGTAAATTACTCTACAAACATGCCCCTTAGCTCTTATACATTCACTGTAAACCACGGCTTCTTGGGGCTTATTGCTTTAGTAAAGTCTTTACTGAGCTTTATTTACACATTTTGTACATTTAATTCTTTGCACTTTAAAATTAATTTATTAATTTCTGTTCAGTAGTCCCTATGACAGTTTCATTGTGTTGCTTTTAAATAAATGATAAAAAGCAGTTGTAAACATTTTATAAAATACATACACTCATCTCTGTACCAATGAAATGTTCAACACTTTGTTTTACACAAATTATATGTAATATCTAATTAAATTTATTTGCACTGCAAAGTTTTCCTCGACTTCTTGTGATTTCAGGGCACGTGTGGATTTAGTGTGTGTTAAGGGCACTGAGCTTTGCCATTTTTCAGACCTGTCTTGCGCACTTGCTTCCTGTCACGTGCACGCACTCTCAAGTGGCCAAGACCACTAGTGCAGGTATTGGGACAGGTGACAGGCCCTTTGTAGTGGAAATGCCATCCGTCCTAAATGCCCTGTGGAACGCAGTGAAGCTCCGCCCACTCACCTCATGATACTGGTCATCAGCATCAAATGAAATGTAATGGTCCTTTTCATTAAACAATTTAAAGGGTGAATAAAGAACAAAGAAAAAATGGAGAATTAACTACAATTTATTATAAAGTAATGCATTTGAAAATCTTTATTTTACTAAAAGGCTTCCAGGAATGTCAAGTTACCACATTTATTAAATTAATTCACAATATGCACACATTCAGCTTCATCTTAATCTTATACCTAATGTGCCTAATATGCTACTCGTATTTATCAAATGAAAACCCATACATTTCGATGTTCTGCACAGCTTCTCATGCGCATGGACTGTACAGTACATCTGAGTGGTCTAAAATTCTCTTTAGTCCTACTAACATCCTCTAAAACACAGAAAGGATGAAATTTGAACACTTTGAATTAATTCACACTGTTTATTTGTAAAAGAACATCTGACCGAGAAGAAAAATTCAGGAAT